ATCCATTGCTAAGCAGTCCATTCTGAAGAAATATTATTATTCAGGAGAAATATACAATAATGGGAGCAGATTGCTAATGAACAGTTAGTTCATTACATAAGGTCCTCTTTTAGTAAATGAAAGGGTTTGTGTGAGACACGCCATTGAGTTTTGTGGTGCCTACTCCCCAGATGATAAATGTGGGAAAGTAACTCCAAGAGAGATGTGTGGGCATGCATATGGAGAATTGGTGACTCCTGGCTAAACAAGGCATTGGACCAGGGCCAGCGGCAAAGCTCCGAAGCTAAAGAAAAGCATAGAAAATGGACTGAGATTGCTCTGTGTTGGGACTTGTTGCTATTGATGTCACTCGGCTGTGATTCCCCAAGATCTAAGTAGTGAGAAGTGATCAGCTGGAACTTCTCTGACCAAAGAGCTGGCCAACTTCCTCTCGGATCACAGATCTGAGATGCGGCTCAATCTCAGAGGCAGTTCCATGGCTCGACCTTTGTTGCAGGATGTAGTAGAATGTCCTCACCGTACTTGACCTTCCCATTTGGAGGCTGCTTTTTTGTGCTGAGGAAGACAAGATTTTGAGATGTCAGCAGAATCCAGAGCAAGTGAAGACAAAGCTCATAACAGTGGCGTGATGTCCACACTGTCACACTAGTCCTAAAACGTGGGTGGGGTTCCTCCGTAGATTTTGATGTGAGTTCTAACCATCCGTGCCCAGATTTGGTTGGCAGCATGTGCGGTTTCCTTGTCTCCTCCATAAAAAGTCGCGTTCCGTTAGGGAGCCACTTGATTGTGCATTGTTTGAATCATAATAAAAGAGAACGGAGGGATTTACAATACTTTTACTCACTAGTAAAATACATTGCCCTTCAGATTCCACTGCATGGCAGTGAATTTGGTCTAGTAGGGTTTTCTGTGTTGCTTTGTTTAGGCCCAGAAAAATCCCCCTTTTGGCCCAGAAAATCCTAACCAATCAAATTAAGACACTTAAGATTTTGTGAAGGACCACAAAAAAGATTCAGATATTTACCAGAAGGGAATAAAAAAAGGAGAGCATATTTTATACTTTCTTCCTTCTTTTCTTGGCTTGTTTAATTGAAAGTACTTTTTCACTTGTTTAATCAGTTATTTTCTGTTTCAGAAAATAACTTCACTTTCATTAAATGCAATTGTTGGTTCATTTTATTATTATTGAGTTTCTGTTATGCTAACACTCTGCTAAGTTCTGAGAATATTTTAAGGAAAAAGACCTCCATAATCACTGTTCTCATAAAGGAAGAGATTTTTCTCTTTTAATTAGTTATGAATAAATTTTGTCTTCTTAAAGAATAAAAATGTTACAAATTATTATGGCCTACCAATATTATTGAGGAGATATGAAATCCCTCTATGTCTCTAGGCAAATATAGTCAAAATTCCAGTGTGACTGATTCTGAGTGGCCAATTAATTAGCAAACTCTGTTGGGATAATAAGTAATGACAACTAACTAAACTAGTTTTGAATAGGTCGGATATTGGGAGTAGACTTAACCTACAGATGATATCGAATTATAACAGAAAGTTATGGGAATTAAAGTACAGTGAGCGTGGTGCAGGCACTGATCACGAGATCAAGTAGAAATAAATATTCTAAAACTAGATTCATGTACTTTTGGAAAAAGTCATCGAATCCAAACATCTGCTCATTCCCAAGAATCTCACCAAACACACTCAAAACTATAAACCATTAATAACATTCTTAACTGATAATACAGAAAGATTTCTTCCAAACCTAAAGAGAGTTAAAAAAAATAATTTACTATCTTCAAGATCTTGCCTAATGCATACATTTTTCTGAGGAAAAACAGAAAGATCACCCCTTTGTGTATGTTTGTGTCTATATAACTAATTACAAGAAATAGGATCTTATATGGGAAGACAGAATGTCAGAGTCATAGTGTACACTGTCAAATGGTGAGAGAGGTAAGAAAAATCTATGTAGACATCTACAATGATTATCTCCCTCTCCCTCCCCAACTGACTTTAATATTGGAAAAATTGCCATCAAGTGTGGTGAAATGAAGCGTATGAAGGGCACCAGCAGTCAGAATTTAAATATTTAAAAAGAGAGAGAGAGTAAAGGAAACGCTGTGATGATGCCAACTCCCAGAGATCCAGTAGCATCATTTATTGGAAAATAAACAAGTTGAAGAATTTATAAAGAAATGATCAGCTTAATACACCGAGGAACAAAAAGTTGGAAAATACAGATGAAAGAGACATACAAACTACAATGAGAACGTACTAGAAGAAGAAAGCATTGAGGTAGATGCAGTATCTTATGGAATAATGGCTAAGAAATTTCTAAATCTAATTTAAAACATTAGACGGAAGGATTAAGGTTTTTAATTTTTCTAAAAATCTATACTCAGACACATTGAAGTGCAAGTATAGGAAGCCAAAAACAAAGAATTCATAAAACTCACCAACAAAAATCAACTGCCATCAATAGCAAGAGTTAGACTGACAACTATCTTCTCAAATACAGCAACCTTAAACATAGCGGAAACGTTTCCTTCACTAACCCAAATTCAGCACAGCAGAAATACCATTCAAGAGGAAAGTTGAAATACATGTTCAGAGATAATCTTTCATAATGTTTCCCAAATATGACGTGTACTCATGGAAAGTTCATGGAATTGCAGTAATGGGACTTTATCTCAAACTAATCATACTTACTCCTCACTTATCAACATGATTAGGTTTCAAAAGACAGGTCATTATATGAAATGGGTGTTCTATGAAAGTTGGGGGGTGACACTGATGCTGTGTTCCCTTCAGATGTCCCCAGTGTCTCTATGGCTGTGTGTGGTGTGGTGGGCCCTGTACCCCACCATGCATTCTCCACCACCATGGACTGCATAGGCGTTGGTGGTTGTGGTAATGGTGGTCAGGTGTTGCCTGCCGCATGCTGTCTTCTATCCCATAACCTTGACCCAGCATCCCCATGTACCCCCTTCCCTCTCCCTCCTTTCCTTCCTCTACTCTCATAGTATTGGCCTCAGTACTGCCACCTCTTTCTCTGCTCCCTCTTATGACCAGCATCATCCCACTGGTACCCTGTGCCCTCTTGTCCAGGCTGAAACATGACAGACAAACAACAGAAGGCATCCCATGGCCCACGGCCCACCATCCCTCCTGTGACCTGGTTGCTGAGAGGCCTCACTCAGGGTGGCCGTCTGGAGAGTTCTCTGGGCCTATTCACATACTCATGTGGGGCCCAAACTCTCAGAGGCACTGCCTGACATTTTTTCCCCTAAGTTCTTGTAAATGCAAAATGCCAGAAAGCAGGATGGTTGATAAATGAGGAGTAGATCTAATAAGACAAGCATGAGGAAATGTATCTCAAATATATTTACTGTTATAAATTGGCTTATTTTAGTCAAGACTTTGAAGACAATAGGGAATTATAGGAATAAAATATGTACCCCTATATGCACTTAAAAGATTATGCAAGCTTTTGCATACTCACAAAAAGAAATATAATATCAATATCAAAATAATTAGAAAAAGAAAAGATGCGATGGGGTAGCATATATCATATGACCTGATACAAGTTAAAATTATAAACATCTATTGGTTATAAATTCCCATATGCCAAAAAGCCTAGGAGATAGTCACTATTCCTGGGGTATGAAAAGGGGGGACATTTTCAGTCTCTTTTATTTGCATTCATATCATATTTTCATTTGGAAAAAAAATAATAACTTTCCAAGGGTAGTCCATCTTTATTCTACCTTTACTAAAATATCATATTTATTTAGATATCATCATGAGGGTTCCCATCTAAGACTTCTTGTCTCATTTGGTGAAGCTGTGATATTAATGAAGTCGAGGCTGAAGGAGTGTTTCCTGTGTGGGTCAATTAGCTCTGCCAGAGAACAGAATGACTCTTTTGTTCATTAGCTCTTAACCCAAAGCGCCAAGCCCTCAAATATTACACCCGAGTCTCAAGGCAAGAGGCATTGCGTAGATATCATAGAAAATAGAAATTGGAAGGGAGAAAAACATATGAACTCAGAGAGCTGGGGCAGTTCGTATCATTTTCATCTACAAAGAATGACTCATATTTTATTTTCTCTTTGAAAGTCTGTTTTCTTTTTCAAAGACGACCACATTTCCGCAGGTATTTGAAGGCAAAACAAAAAGCAAATGTTCAGTAAGTTAAGTCAGCTCTCATTTGTCAGAATTCCTGTTCCATTTGTCTCATTCTTTTTCATCTTTTTTGTCTCATTCTTTGCAACCACTTCTTTGCTCCTTTTCCACCCTCATTCTTAAAGCAAAAGATCCCAGGTAAAAGGCTTCTTGCCATTTAATATAAAGCAAAAACAAAACGTACTGCCATAGCGTCAATTAGTCCTCATCGTGGCCCTAGGAATAGTACAGAACTGCCCTCGTGGGTTCCGGGACTCCCATAGCGCTGTATGGGAGTAGAAAGCCTCATTTTTCTCCCAAGGAGCAGCTGGTAGTTTTGGATGGCTGACCTGGCGGTTAGTAGCCAATGCTAATTGACAACCCCACCTGGAGTCACCCATTTTAAAATAGAGAAAGCTAAATTACCAAAAATCATTTCTAATTTATTTTCAATCACAGCAAGGAACCACGGCCGTTTAGGAGACTCACAGTTTTCCATCTTGCAATTTTACCCCTCACATTTATAGCAAGTGAAGTGTAGAAACGTTTTTGGAGAGACTTGTCGAAGACGAAGCCTAACATACAAACCAGCAGCTTCCCTCCATCTGAATAGCTCGCTGTCCGCGTCTGACCACAACCACGGAAAGAATTGGAGCAGCTCGTCGGATTGTTAGTGTCTAAGATATGGACGCGTTAGGGTCATGCATTCCAGCACAGGATTGTAAAATTCTAAACAACTTACTTGAGTAGTCTGGGCATTGAGATCTTTCTTTTTAAAAAAGATTTTATAGTTTACTAATTCTCTGGTGAAAAATCCACATCCCTAGTGCAGATCAAGTCACTGTGGACTCTGTTCTTCCCTTGTGCCAGCCCCACCGTGGGCCTGTGCGGCTCCTGACTGTCTGCCTTCTGCGCTCGTGCTCCTGGCGCTGTTTCCTGCAGGTCTTTGTCTTCTCGCACAGCCGGTCCTGCAAGTCTGTGTTTAGGACCGTATCATCCAAAGAATCGTCATTCCTGCCAAAGCCAGTAGTCTTGCCACCACCAAAATGGGTTCTAAATCCGAATCTAAAGATGACATCTGGTGCGGTCTTGTACATTTTGGCTAGTTTTTCACCAGTTTCTGTCTCAGGCACTGTTGCTTTCCCAGGGTGAAGGACATCAATGAGCACTTGTTCTCGCTGAAGTAGCCGGTTGGTCATGCACTTCCTGGTCCGGATGGTTACTGTGTCCTTCACGATGGCCTAGAACGCTCAAGCAGCCAGAGACGAAAGGAAGCTGGGCATTGCTTTCTTGACTGGAAAGCGTATTCAGCATGTAGCTACACTGTAAGGAAACATGAGCTCCTGTGACACCCTCCACATCCATCGCTTGGTAAATGTCCTAAGCCCTTGTGTAGCAACGAGTCATTTTTCAGTTATTTTTATCTTGTAGAAGGTACCGTCGACTTTTAAAAGAGGTATGCAACCAGTAGTGGCTATAGGAATTCTTTTTTCCTTACAAAATATTACCCTTTTTGATATAGACTATTCTGACGACCTTGAAGAAAAATAAGCAAATTCATAGAAATATATTTTTTGACTTTTTCATTTTATAATTTCTGGTTATTTCTTAAATATTTTATTTGGGGAAATATGAAAGTAATACATACGATAAGAAAACGATGTTCTCAAATTATTTATTTTTAGATAGGGTGATTGCTTATGAGATAACTAATATAAAATCATGCATGTCCATAGAGAATGATTTCAGAAGTAAAAGTGCTGAGAATTCATTGTCAATCAATCATATTTAGTCTTGAAAGACTCCTTCCTGACAAGGTTGGTGAAAACTTCCTACTACAGAGGATTTTAATTAGGGGGAACCCACCTCTTGGTTTCTGAAAAGTCTTCCTTGGCATAGGCAGTTGTCATGGGTAACTAATAATAGCATCTCTTTTTACTCTCCCAAGTTTTTAAAAAGAATTCTCTGATTACTCTCATTTTCGTAGTTTGATAACTCATCGTGGCATGTCCCCTTCACTGTGTTTTCTGGGGCACACTTCTCTGAGAATGCGAGTGGAAATGCAGAATGCAGAAGCACTATCCTCACACCCTTAGCCTTTTACCCATTAGTATCTGCTAATCCATGGTGGCAGGAAGGGCTGTGGTGTTAGCTCCTTCTCAGGAATGTCATTCACTTCATAATCTATATAGATGGCACCCCATATTCCTTTCCTTTCACTTATTCCTGTGTTGGGGGCATGCATTTGCATGGATTCAGCTGAGTGTACCATGTTGGGGCAGAGAAGATGCTAAAGTGTTGATTGCTGGAAGCATGTATAAAAAGGAAATGAAATCCATTCTGTATCTTAAATCAGGAAAGCTCTTCTTTGTTGTTCCAGAATAGGCAAATGCCTAGACTGGTTGACAGCAAGAATATGCAATTAATGAATGGAAGAAGTGCTGAACTAGAAGAGACTAAAATTCTGCATTCTATATGCACAATGTTGCAATCGTCTCAATCTATGAATAGATGCACAGATAGATGCACAGACTGCATGATATGAGAGGGAGAACAGGAGTATATCCTTGAATATCTGATGGTTTCACAGAAGGACATACGTACATATGTATTTACCTTTGCTATAAATATATCCATGAATGCGATAGAGCACACAGGAGGCAAAGTTATGAAAACTTCTTAGATGTAGCCAAACATCCTTTGGAATGAGTCTGAGTCATAGGTTCTGAAGGCTCAGGACTATAATTCTGAGAGTCATCAAAATCAATTGGCATGACATAATGCATCCAGACAATGTTCTAGGTTATTGAATAGTGACTGGGTTCTGAAACGTTCTTGAGTAGCATCTAAGGGGCTACCATTGGTCTGTCCCTGTCCAGTGGAACAAACGAAGAAAACTGTAGATGCAAAGAAATAATTAGGCCAGTAGACTTATGGACCATGCAAACAAAAGTCTTCACAACCTTGAGACCACAGATCTGGGTGGTGCCAATGACCACTGCCAACTGTCCTGAACTTGCTCATGTTTGGAGATTGTAGGTAGAGCATAGAAGACCTGTGGAATTTAAAATCATAAAGAAAATGATCGGGCTTATTGGTTGGCTAGAGACTGGTGGATTCCTCAACAGGCTTAGTCACCCTTCAGGTCTGGAAATGAACTCACCCACATGGCTCAATTTTCAGCCAAAAAAAAAAAAAGATAAGTCTGTAAAAATAACAACACTGAGGCGTGTAATCTTTGGGACATATACCCAAAGACAAGTTCAGAAGAATTAGAAAAGAAGGAAAAATGAAAACAGGAAGCACAAGCAAGAAATGGCATCAGTGGCATTACATTGTGGGGATTGCTATCAATGACATCAAGCCAATTGTGTATGAAATGTTGAATGGAAAACGTATCCACTCTGTAAAGCTTCACCTAATTCACAACATTAAGTTCAATGAAAAATTGTAATATCTACATTCATTACACCTCTCCGAACTTCTTTATGTTCTTTAATTCTAAGAACACTGCCGTCCAGGGACACACCCACCAGGAAGAGAATTAGAGTAGATTTTTGTTGTGGTGGTTTTTTCCTGGAAAATATTTGGACCACAAAACTTACTTCTCCTTTAGTGACACTAGAGAGAAGAGCAGCATTCTGCCATAAAAGACGACCAGGTTCTCAAGTGGAAAACCATAGACGACAAGTTCCAACTACAAACACAGAACTTTCCATCATTATTTTCAGAATAGTTCTCAGAGTATAAATCCTCAAAAAAAAATCATTGGAAATTTGAGGAAGGCTTCTGCTTTCATAAAAGGCAGAGACCTACACAAGGATAGAAATGCAACTCAGAGGAAACAGAGATAGGATAAGGGGAAAAAATGCAAAAGATAAGAGTGCCTATCATTATTATCCTCAGAGTTTTAAAAGGTGGTTTTGTATCCATGAAATAATTATAAGAAATGGAGGGGTGGGGAAGAATCTTCAGAAAACAGAGAATAATTTTATATTTATTGGAAAACCAAGTAAGAGTGCCACTCTGTTCACAAGGAAATAAAGTTAGACATCAATAATAACAACAAAAACCAAAACTGTAAAGTAGGGAAACATAAAGAAATTAAGAAGCACACATTAAATTATCGATTATTCAAGGAAGAAATCAAAAGAGAAAGCTTAAATTCCTGAGGGTCTGATGAAAATGGAATACAGGTCAGTAGTCAAAGGGGAACTTACAGCACTAAAGATCTTAAGAAGAAAGATCTCAAATCAACAGCTATGTAGGTTAGATTTTATGTCAACTTGAACTTGTGAGAAAGTACAGGGGTGGAGTCCAGCTTATTTATCAGTCTGATGATACTATATTGGGCATGTGGCCTTTTAAGAAGAGAGACAAGGAGAACCTTCCTCTCTCTCTGACCCTTCACCTTCCTCCTCACGGGGACTCTGTCTGCCTCCAGGGCAGACCCTCTATGGGAGCCACTGACCTGAGTAGCTGCTGGTGCCTTGACATGTCCCCACCAACCTTGGATCCACCCATATCTGCACCATAGAGAAGACTGGAATAGAAGGAATTCCCCCAGTATGATTTATGGCAGGGCAGATGACCCAATGGACAAGTAAACCTGAGCTTACTTGTGATTTCTTAATAATCCAGAGTCAGTCAACAATTTCATATCGGTTATAAATGTTAAAAGAGGCGTTGATTCTGTAGGAAAGTCTGATGGGACTAAGAAAGAGACAGATGCTAATCATATCTGTGATGTGGTGAAAATTTGTGAAGTTGTTCCCAATATATTTGTAAATATGCACAAGGTAAACTTGTGGTTACCTTGTTTCTTAGATAATCTAGTCCTGATTCTAGGGTATGTATGTAAAGTCAACAGCCAAGATTATACTTAATAAAGAAAAACTGAAAGTTCTCCCCTTAAAACTGAGAACAAGACAAGGGTATCCACTCGCCCAACTTCTATTCAACATTTTACTAAAAGTCTTGGCTCAAGCAATAAGAAAAATGGAAGGAATAGAAATTATTCAGACTAGAAAAAGGAAGAAGTAAATTGATCTCTATTTGGGAGGGATATGATCCTGTGGAGAGAAAATCTGAAACATTCTGAGAGAAAGCTGGAGAACTTCGGTAGCTTCAGGGTACAAGGTCAACAAAAATCATTTGGATTTCTCATGGACAAGCAGATGGATTCTGGGCTTCCATGTAATTCTAACCCTGATCCAAGGATAGTTCTTATAACCTGGCCCTGCTCACCTTCATGAAGAGATGACTGAAGATATGGGTCCTACAGCAAAGTATGGTGAAGAAAGCAAATGGTGTGCACCAGTCTACGGGAACAGTGTCTGGGGGCTTAAGGGCTTGTATTTAAACCAACAGCCATCTAAGTGAGGCATCAGCTCAATCCACATGGACGAACCACACCAGCCTGTGTGATCCAGAGATAACAATAACAAAATCCAAATATGATGAAGGGAAATGTATCAGCGCTTAAATTGTGAACACCCGATTTATAGGAGATTATGGAGGACAGTGGGAGCCAAATCCATCTGAAGACTATGTAGTCAGATTTAGCCTCGGAAGATCCCCTCTGGCCACAGTTAAGGGACATAAACAGCTTTGCAATCAGACAAAGATAATTGTAGATTTGATTATGGTAGATGGAACTACAATATAATATGATACTTGATTAATTGACCTCCCTCTTGACCCAACTTGAATTTACTCTAGGTTTGAATAACTTCTCACTTGTCCCAGGACAGAAATTTCCTCTCTTGCTTTTTTAATATATTGCTCGTGGTCTTTCCTTTCTTACTCATTATTTTTATTTTTACATTATTATTATCTTTCTGTTTCATTTTGTTTTAGCTTTTCATTGTTTCTATTCATTGTCCCAGTATGAAACACAGAAAGAGTGGATGTATAGAGACAGTAACAGATGCAATGGTTGATTGGGGAATGGGGAGGAGTTTTGGGGAGCAAACATTGAATACAGGAAGTGGGAGGGAGCAATAGAATGAATTATGATGGTGTATATATAACTCTTTTTAAAAACAACTCAATAATGGAAGTGTATGATATATGAACTTTATATCAATAAAACTATTTTAAAATCCTTTGGCTTCTATACACCAGCAATGAGGAATATGAGATAGAAATGAAGAAATTTAGGAATAGTGTCTAAGAATCAAATACCCAGGGAAAACTC